ATGAAGTCAAGTCGAGTAGAATATAAATTTGTGAATTTTAGGAAATCTCTAATTCTGACAAAGAGGTTCGAGAATTGACTCCGGCGCGAAGATGGTGGAGAGAAGGATCGCGCGGTGGTAGCATTTCTAGTAACAACGGTCGTCTTTCCGAACAAATTCGATCCATTTTTTGGAAATTGGCCTACAAGCAGCTGGCACCTGGTGATTGGAAAAAATTAGCCTTTCATTGGGCCTTCACCGCCGAACAGATCAGAGCTATCGAGCATCAGTATACCGGTAAATCGGCATTATGTATTGTATTTTTAGTTTCTTTCTCATTACATAATGAAATAAAATCATTAAAATTGGGAAATAAAAATTAAAAATCAAAAATTAAATTGTTAAAGTTGTTTTCATTGGATAATTAGATTGGATAATTAATTTCATTCACAGCTTATTATTCTAGAAAAGTTGTACCAAAAGTTAAAAGCTATATCAAAGTTATTACTCATATATCTCTATATTATATATTTATATATACAATTTGAGATGTTAATTAAAGGATTCGGGATAATTAAGGAAAATTGAAAAATTAATCACGAAATCAACTACAGAAATTATTTGACAAATTTAGATCTTTCTAAGTCATCAAGGTACAAAAGCAAATATAATTACTCACGAAATAGTAATCAATAAGATCATAAACATATACTTACCGTATCGCATGATAAAATGACTATCGTAAAATTTATCATAAATGATACATGTGGATTTGTACCTCGATGTTTCTGTAATGCATGTAGAGCAGCCTTATGAAAAGGACGATAAAGCCCGAATTATAGGTCCCTCGAGCTACAAGGAGCATGGATTTCGAATGTTAATGATCTGGGCCTCCGGACTGAATCCAGACGTATCACTGATAAAAGAGCTCTGTGAAGCTTTGTCAGCGGTGGACAAAAAAGCAGTCGCTGGTATATATAAAAATTCACATTCTTATTACTGTATCTGATTGTTATCTCAACAAACTTTCTATCGCCTACAGTAAAAATGTCCCTCATTCACAAGGATAACAATGGATTACAGCGCAACCGACGTTTACAGAGATAACAAACATAATATATCTAAGATATTGAATTTTGTATCGAATAGAACTTCCTGCAAGGAGATACTATCAGCCTTCACTTATGTTGCAGATTCCATTCGCAAACAGATGGAACAAGGAAACGACGATAAAGCGAAATCGAAAGGGCAACGATGTCACAAATGCTCCATTACATGAATATCTACAAGTGCCAAGCTCACACGTAAATTCTACATATATACAAAGAGTAATGAAAGAAATTTAATGAAAGAATATTGTAATTTATGACATAATAACTGTTGTTGTTGAAAGCTTCCCGCATTATAATGGGGAGAGTTCAACGAACTTGGCAAAAGCCATTAACGAAGGATTTATGACAAAGGTTAAAAAAGTACATGTTGTATAATACTTTTTGTACTAATGATATTTTACGCAACATTACGTAAATTTTTAGAATACAAACAACGATTATAATTTATGATGCAGATATCGCTATTATTTCAAAACTAAGAATTTCTTTACGAAAGATCGGATGTGTATAATTCGATAAATTTTATATACTTTAGTATACGCGAATTTAAAAAAAAAATTCAATGTTTGAAATTAACAAATTTAAGGAGACTCATCGTTTGAATAAAATTAATCCGTTGGTGCTATGAAAAAAATCACAGCTTGAAAATCCGAGAAAAAATAAAAATAAAATCCATAATCATGATTTTTAAATAAATTTTTGGGTCAGACGGATTATATAATTTTATTTTACCATATTCTAGAAAAGCTGATTAAAGATTAGTATATATACAGTAGCTTCACTCTTTTTAGAATACAAAAAATATGAATCCGCTAAATTATTAATGTATTAAATAACAAGAAAAAGGTTGGTCTGAATTATATATAAATAACATGTGCGAAAAAAAAGATATACTCAAAAGGGAATATCTGAACAATTATACGTACGAAACCAAGCCGTCCTAAGCTAATCTTAATTTAGGCAGACTAGATTTCCATTTTACTCTTGCGATTCTTGTATAGAGAAACGCCTCCGTAATTTATAGAAACAAACGTACAGTTAGTACATAGAAGCCATCGAAAAAGCGGCACAATTGTAAAATCAAAGTAACAATCGAACGTAGATTCTTTGGAATAAATAATAACGCATAGAATAATTGTGAGAGTAAATTTTGCAGGGCTTTCGATGTGATAACAATTTGTTAGATTATTAGCTTTCGAATGAAAATTAATAACAAAATCGATAATAATTATCGCACGGTTCTCGAGAGAGACAATCTACATATCTGAAACTTATAAATCTAGATTTAATTAGCTATAAGCGATAACATTATATGTAACTTTTTGCATTTCATAAAATTGTGTGAAAAATTATAAAACTTTTAATTGACATGAAATCAAATACGTAAGAATCAATTTTTAAGCAAGAAGCAAATCATTTTTTCTTTACTATATTTAGATTATATAGTTTTGTAACGTTGATAAAGTCTATACGATTAAAAAGATGGAAAATAATGAAATGCAATAATACTTTGTCCGCAATTTATCGGTACTTTCAATTTATTTTCATAAAATGACATCAATTATCAACAAAAGATAGTGATAATACGAAAAAAATGTATACAACATAGATATAAGTAAATACTTACCGCTTGAATTAAAAAAGATCATGGACTTCCGAAGCTGCTTTCTGAAAGTACGATTTTACAACAATGTGTACATATCTCGTCGTGATGTAATAAATCATTGTATTCTGTATATTGTCGTATATATTATTGTAAACATTATATAAATTATATGACATAGAATAACGTAGGTTGTAACATCACTATTAATTCTTGTACACTAAAAAATTGTATTGATGAACAAGTTTATTTTTTCAGGAAAGAACATATCAATATCTCTCATTCCTGAAATTCTTACAAACCGAAAACCAAAGTAGAAGGAAAAAGGATCGAGGTAAGATAACGAACATGATAAAATATAATAGGATAATTTATAAATAATTGACAACTCCAAGCGTTTCTATTAAAATGTGAACGTTTATTAATCTGTACGGAATATCAATTATTTATTCTCTATGCTATAAAAGAATGCATTTGTTGCTACCTTCTTGGTTTGCAATATGTAACAAAATACTATAAACAGTAATATAGTATCAGAGTGGCGAATAATAGAATTGGAGAGGGGTGCTATCAACAGTCGTATCGCGACGGATTATTCTCTGTAATTTCTTAATCAATATTATCATTACAGATATTACACGATTGTACCCTAGTGCGTGTCTTCCTTCGTTGTCACATTTTCCGGGATTCCCTTCGCGAAAATACGTGTGCCGAAACGCAGGTGCATCACAAGATATATAAGTCAATGTGTACCGTGGCGTACGTACTTAGACTTATATTTCTCATTTCCCCATTATAATAGAGTACATTTTACAATTGTATACATGAATAGAAATAGATCTCCGTATTTAAATTACTACACTCTTATCCCTAAGACCACTATCGCAATTTTAGTAAATATAAACGTTTGACGTTTTGACCTTATGCTATCTTTGCTATGGACAACCCGTGCTCACTCCATTTGTTCCAACTTTCGTGCAAAGGTCTCGAGGTAACAATGAGATAGCTATAAGACAAATGATCCAAGCATATTTTCAATATCTTAAATAAAACTGCATCAATCGATTCATTTTTCCGAATTTTTAAAGACTTTAAATATCTTCCGAGAACAATCGATTCTGAACAAATAAATAATCTTTATTACATCAACGCATTATTGCATTCTCGTTAGTAAGATCGCAGACGACAGTGTTAATTCCTCGAAATGTAATTATAATTATAAGAAACAGAAAAACGTATTCTCATATTAGATGAAACTTTCAAAGCAAGATTCAAAAAAAGAAAACGAGAAATATTGAGATGTGTCGAATGATTGAGTCATATTTATGCTCACAGTTTAAAATTTCACGCGCGTTTTAGACTTTTCTTTTACCTCAACTCCATAAGCCTCGCGTCATCCAGTCAGTAAAATGAACAGGACGTCTAGGAAATAAACTTCCTGCGGCAGAAATCGAAAAAAAGAAAGTATTAGGTTCTATATTCTAACGCTGTCGTCGCGCACGCGACAGTTATAATTGGAGAAAGACGAGGAAACAACGAAAGAAGTAAAGGAAACGACAATTTCATCATCCGCATGAATGAAAGTGAAAAATCTTGGAAGAGACTTAACACGCTGGGATGAATGCTGTCGTCGAAAATAAACCTAATAATTAGATCTCGAGTCGATCTCTCGAATTGTGTAACAGTAAATAAAAATGTCTCTCTTCGGCATCTCGTTGTTATGTTCGTTACACAATTGTCGATAATTATCTGTCCGACCGATCGTTTCCTCCGTGTTACGACGTTTCTCAATCAAAGGGATATAAGGATAAGGTGACTTTCACTGCTAGTCGACCGAATTTTACCCTAATAGAATCCTAATTTGCGGACATCCCAATTTCGAGCGTACGATCCGTGATCGTGCGATCTCAACATGCGCACGCAAGTCCGTTGTTTAACTTTCTCGCTCGTTTTACTTGCATTTTCGAAAATCATTTGTCGCTCGAATCCAAACACGTAGAACATGCAAAAATGCGCGCGTCTTGAGATATAGTGCGGGAAAAAAAAAATAATCAGCATGAGTCAATCGTAGTAAATTTTATATGTTTAAAAAATTAGTGACAGATCATTGATAAGTTCTCACGAGTTGCTCGTCGACAGAGATATATCGCAAACGTCCAAATTTTAATGTTACTCTATTGGGAAAAATAAAATTTTTTTGTAAAAAAGTTATCACTACTTGTACATATCACATTATCATAAATGTAATATATGAAACTTGTTTATAGTTATCCAATATATAAAATTATAAACTTTTTGGAAATTCAATAGCAATTGCAATCTCCATTATAAAAAATTACGTACATCTCTTGTAAACTTCGTTCATAAGTTTAAACGATGCAATTTACACGCGATGTAGGTATTCAGGACAAAAAGTCAAGTGGTCTAAAATCGATTTCAACTTCAATCGGGAGTTTGCTGCATATATATATATATGTAAAAATATCGTGGTATACCACCTCGCGAGTGACACCAATCAATGAAGTGTCGTATCAGATCTTAAATCTATTTGACACTGCTCGATCGATGCCGCGTAACCATAGCCATCATTTTGGTTTTATATCGTAAATTCCACAATCTGTCTCTTGCCCTGTCGTGTGCACCTCTGCGAAGAGCAAAATTACGGCCAACAACGCTGCGCCTCGTTCTTCATTATTTGCGCATTTGTTGCTTGTCCCACGAAGTACAGTACGATCTTTTCCTCCACGAGTTCTCCAACGCAGACTTAAGGTAAAATAGGGCGTGTGTGTTCTATCACCAATATAAACTATTTCATAATAAGTATGCATACGAATGTGTACGTAGTTAGCAACAAAGAGGGGAAGAAAGATCTCGGATCAAAGACCGAGACCACTTTTGTCTTATTCCATCTAGCGGCGATAAGGATGATAATTGCTGTTGCTCGATGTGGTTCCTGTGTAACCCCTTTGGGGCCCACCGCCGTAGTTGTCGGTTCCTGGCGCAGCAGGAACGCTCGACGATCCATATCTGGCGCCTGTATAGAATCGCACAAAACAACATAGTACTGCGTGCCAGGACGTGACGAGAGGACGTAATCGGAGAGGGTGGTACAGAGCAGTGGCTCGTGTTACTTTATAATAATTCAAAAGACTGATCCTCGATAGGAGATCCAAACGTAAAAAGGCGAAGGAAACTTAACTCTTTGCGATCCGGATCACGGAGAATCAAAAATAGAAATGAAATTTTGACAAATTTTAACTATTACATTCAGATCCTTCGCAAATATGCCTTTCGGCAAACAATGTAAATTTCAGCATTAATAACTTAAATAATTTACGTTCACTTGTACTTGTGTGAATGTTTATTAAAGTTAGTTCAAATGATTAGATACATTTACAATTTTCATGTTAATTCAAAGTTGTTAAAAATATCATTTATCTTGCAGAATATTATAGCAACCTGAATACGATAAATGTTTTTATACATAGGACTGCAAAGAGTTAAGATTATCAGGATTAGTTTGAAAAAACAGGAATTAGACTAGAAAAGGAAGAAGTCAATTAAAGCAATAATCTAAAGTTTTCGCAAAATTCAAATCTAATTGATAATAAACATTCGAGATTAAATAATTATAATGATAAAATAATAATTATGATTATGTTGAACATTATTAATAACAATTATTAATAACAATATATTATATATATCAATATCAAGGCAATTATAAAAATATGCTTCAATTGAATAATTTTAATATTATTGAAAAATTGGAAAAATAGAAGTAAAATTGAGAAATCGAATCATTTTATAAGTAACGAAATATCCATTTAATTATAAATAATTATATAATATTGTATAAATAATACTGTATATAAAAAAAATTAGATAAAAATTTTGTATGGAAAAAACTTTGTATACAAAAATTTATAAATCATATTTATTGACTG